TATAGCTATAATGAGAATCGGTTATTAGTATTACATAGTGATATAGGTATTGTTACTTACTCATAGGTTCTTATACTGCTATTGCAGCTGTGGGCTTAATCACAATATGAGGTCCTTGCACTACTATTGCAGCCACGGAGCCTAATCACAACATAAGGTCTTTGTATTATTATTGTAGCTATAGAGCCTAATTTACAATATAGGGTCCTTGCACTGCTATCACAGCTAAGGAGCCTGCTTAACAATTCAAAGTTCTTGTACTGCTATTGCAGCCACAGAGTCTAATTACAATATGAGATCCTAAATACCAAACATGAGGCTCTTGCAAATAACCAAATACATAGCTATTGTAGCCATAGAGCCTGATCATCAATCTGAGGTCCTCGCACTGCTATTGCAGCTGCATAGCCTAATTATACATAAAATTCTTGCACTACTATTGTAGCCTCATTAGCATGAGGTCTTTGCAACCATGGAGCCTAATCATAACATAAAGTTTTTGTAGTTACAGAGTCTAATCATCAACTTGAGGCTCTTATCTAATTATCAGCATAAGTTCTTATACAGCTATTGCAACTGTGGAGCCTAATCACCAACATGAAGTTCTGCACTGTTATTACAAGCACAGAGCTTAATGATTAAAATGTATAAAGTTGTATATTAAGGACCCTGATACTAATATAGTTCTTGCTCTGCTATCATAGCTGCGAAATCTAACTATCAAACATGAGCCTTGTACTACTATTGTAGCTGCGATGCCCAATTCACCAACATGAGATCCTTGTATTGCTATTGCAGCCTTGGAGCCTAATTACAAACATTAAGTCTTTATATTATTTCTAAAGCCACAGAACCTAATTACTAATATAAAGATCTTGTACTGTTATCATAGTTGTAGTGCTAATTATCAAATACAAAATCTTTATACCTCTTTATTTTCATATTCTTTCTTAGTTGCATAGTGGTCTTTGATGTTTTTGAAATTCGCTAAACTAATTTAAGGCACCTCTTTGCTGTTAATATCTACGTATAAATCCACATTAAGCTGTCCAATATTTATTTTTACAGATTTGACTATTGGCTCAAGTTTATAATTTTTTATTCTATAAGAATTATTAGGTAGAAGTATTTTGGAGCGAAGTAGGTAAATCAGACAAGTTGAATAAATCAGTTTGTATTAGGATAGTAATACAGTAGTTAGCTATTTTTGGCTAGCCATTTTGTAGCCATTGGCTTATCTCATAATCTAGTGATCCAAATTGGATGATTTTAGCTCCATTCAAATTGTCTCATTGAGACGAATCGAATAGTACGGTGCTAAAATCATCTCATTTGGATTACTAGATCATGAGAAATAGCCAATGGCTACAAAATGACTAGCTGAAAATAGCTGACTATTGCTATTTCTAGTTTGTATTATTATTAGTTTTTTATATATATTTTGTTAATAAAATGAAATATGAAGTGAAATATAAAATGAAATATAAAGTAAAATATTAAGCAAAATATAATGCAAAGTATGAAGCGAAATATAAAGCAAAGTATAAAGTAAAATTTAAAAAAAATATAAAGCAAAATATAAAACAAAGTATGAAGTGAAATATAAAGCAAAGTATGAAGCAAAATATGAAATGAAGTATGAAGCAAATATGAAGCAAAATAGAAGTAAAATATTGATGATATCATTAATCATTATTTGGATTAATTTTTGGCAATTTGAATTACTTATGACAATTATGCATTTTGATTGGTTACTTACCTACTACGGCATAAAAAAAAATTTGTACTCAGCAATTTTTGGACCCAATTGAATATGAAAACCAGTTTATTTTATTTGTGTTGTCTTAGTAAAAATCAAACAAATTTTTTCTAAATAATTTTTTTTAAATTTTAAACAATAATAACTTAACAAAAATTTAACTAAATTTAATAAAAATTTTTTGTTTAAAAAATTTTATTAAATTTATTCAAATTTTGATTAAATTATTAATATATAAAGTTTTAAAAAATTTAATAAAAATAATTTGCTTAATTTTTATTAACTCACTTCTATATATCTAATTTGGTTAATATTATATTTTTTTTCTTAATTTAGCTAACTTTTTTTTTAGATCTAAATACAAAATAATATTGGATAATATATTAAAAATTAGATATAATCTAAAATTAAAATGTTTTAATGATAAGTAATAGTTTTTTATATATCTTTATCTTTTTTATTTAAATTAACTTTTTTATATAAATTTAAAATATTACTAAAATATAAATTAGTCTTTTAAATATAGATTAAACAAATTAAAACTGAAAACTAAGTTCAAAATTAAGAATCAATTATTTTTTATACTATATCTTTGTTTTTTTTTTTTAACTTAAATTAATTCTTTTTTTGTAAACTTTAAATTTGCTAAAATATAAAATAATAGTAGTTAATAAGCAATTTGAAAATTAGTTTTGAAGATAAGTATAATTCTTTTTAATACTATTTTTTAATTTAAGTTAATTATTTTTTTTTTGTAAATTAGGCTTTATAATAAGGTATTATTTTTAAAAATTAATAACTAGTATAGTATTGGTATTAAAAAAGATAAAAGATTTTTTGATAAATAGATGAATATTAATCAATATTTAGCTATTTTATAAAATGCTTAAACTAGTATTTAACAAAATTAAATAAAAATTCGATTCTCAAATAATTAATAAATATTTGATAATTACAGTTTTTCACAAAAAAAAAAAGTAAAATAAGTACTAGAAATGACAGTTTTCCAAAATAAGAAAATAATAGCTGTTGATTATTGTAGATCTTGGAGTATATAGGTGTAAAGAGTTTAAATAAATAATCTAAGTAGACAGGTTGCAGGTATAGCATCTAGTATAAAATCTAGTAATAGGCCGACTATTTAAATAAATGTTCAAAAAAATATAGGTATAGTTAGTTTGTACTCTTCAAATATGTATAATAATTTATCTGTACAATAAAAAATATAACCAAAAAAGATCATCTTAAAAGATCACTATGATGCAGGATATCTAGTCATATCATAGTGCTAAAATTCAAAACCTATATATGAATATATATAGAAGTGCTAGATTTAAAAATTATATTTATAATAGTGCTAAATTTTAAAAATTATATAATAAATTAATAGTACTGAAATTTTTAAATTGCAAAAAAAAAAAAAAAAAAAAACCACAATATATATATATATAAGTGCTGAATTTTAGTAAAATATATAATATAAGTACTGAATTTTAGTAAAATAAAATGCTGAATTTTTTAAATTTGATATAAAATTAAAGAGTTTTTAAACTAAAATAACAGTTTAATAAAAAGGTTTTTTCTCTATATTTATATTTTTTAGGTTTCAAAGAAGGATACAGCTATTTACATCATAATTTTTGCTATTTGCACCATTAGTTTGACCAGAATTAGAGTTAGGGTATAATCCTAGTCAATTTAATGGTGCAAATAGCAAAAATTATGGTGCAAATAGCAATTCTCTTCAAAGAATATTAATATAGAAAGTTTTTTTTAAAATTTATTGTTAGTTAAAAAGTTATTAAACTTTTAAAGCAAGCAATTATTTTGTGATGTGACTAGATGTCCCGCACCATAGCAAGGCTGCCAAAGTGAAAAAAAACAACTTTTTTAAACTATTTTGACTTAAATTATAACTTTATTATAATTATAAATACTAATAAATCTTGGGTTTTGTTTGTATAACGTGGGTTCGTTATATTTCTATACCGAACAATTCGGTATACGGAGCTAGCCAATAAAACCATGTGTAGAATCACAACGGGTCAGTGCATCTTCGAAATTTTTGCTTCGGTTCGGGATCTTTCGGAACAGATATTATATACAATCAAATAGTCGAAATCAGTGTGCAAAATTCAATGTTCTCAAAGTTTTCTGAGAACATAAAAAATATCAAAATCTATTATATAGATGTTCTTGTGAGAACATGAAATGAAATTTGAATTTCACCCACTGATCGAAATATGTGTACATGGTCTTAGGCTGGTAAAGAAGAGTTCGGTATATAAAAATTTACTATATAAGTTCGGTATAGGCAGCCTAAATTATAAAAAATCGGGTTGCCAGATCTGGTTTGTTATAACCCGAGTTCGGTATAAGCAGGTTCGGTATATCCAGAGTCGACTGTATAAAAAATACTATATATAACATAAATTCTGTAGTACGTACGTACTGTACATAGAGCGAGTAGTTTAAATTCGGTAATGTAATACATCTAATATACTATAATAATTAAATATTAAACCAAGAGGTCGCTTATGCTGTAAAAAAAAACAAAAACAAAAACTATAGATGCTACTGAAACTAAATAATGCTACGTAGTAAAACTAAAACCAACCATTTTTCAAATTTCCTTATTTGGGGAACAGATTCTTATAATATGTATTTTATTGAATTAACTTTAGGGTTAGGGTCATTTTATATTAGGGTTAGGTTAGGTTTTAGGTAGTTATATGTAAGCAAAATTGCCTTTCCGACATTTTTAATTAACCCACCTGAGGTAGATTTAGACTGCCGTTTTTTGTATTGTTCAGGGTTTTCGTTTTTATTTCTTTAAAATTCTATAATTTGATTGGTCAGATATCACGTGTAAACTACACAATCAAATCATAAAATTTTACAGAGCAAAAAAAAAAAAAAAAAAGTGTCTAAACATCTATTGGGCACTAATAAAAAATATCGAAAAAGCAATTTTGCCTATAACCCTTGCCAATCTTTAACCACTATTTACCAAGAATTTTACCAGCATCTATAGTTGTAACTAGTTTTAAATAAGCCAAAATAGTTTCAATTATGTATATATAATCCTTACTATACCAAGAAAGATTTAAATATTATATAACTATATATAATTAGATTAATATCAGAAAATAATCTTAAATATTCATTTAAGCATAAATGTTTCAAACAAGTATAACCACTTTTATTATATATTTTATATAATGCTATACAACTTCTTATATTATACCTATCTTTAAATATAAAGATAAAAAATAAATACAAATCAGCACGTGGATTATAAAAGTTTAATTCAGCAAATTTAACATTAGATATTCGAATATTCAATGGTTATCCGTTTTTTAATATCCGGATGTTAAAAAAATTGAACATATGAATATCCAGGTTTTTTTTTCTTGATCGGATCAGACCTCTAGTTCAAATCTTCCTTAAAGTCCGCAAGAAACTAGATCGGGGTAATTTTGCAAAAATGCAATGGTTGCAGCGAATACGCCGACCGAGACTATAATGTCTAAGTTACCCTGACGTTTTTCTGGTGCAAAGATCTCATCGCGAAGGAAGCGGGTGAAAAAGTTGCCACTATTGCTGCTACCAGATCCTTGTCCCCTATTGATGGGCGATCCGACTATAAATTGAGGTGAAGGTGCCATTTGTTTAACTAATTGAAAGATTGAAGGACAAATCAACAATTGAAGAATATTACGTGTAACTGATCAAATCTAATTATAGGATAAGATACAAATAAAATCGTGGATAAATTTAATTGGTTCTAAAGATTAGATTCAGTTTGAGAATTTTTTATGTACATATAAGACTAATTTTTTCTTCGTTTCTGATTCCAAATTCCACCACTCATTCTCTCATTCTTTAACTACGGTTTTTTGTTTTCTGGCCAATGGGTTGTATGTGTTAATAATTTTTTTGCATTACTGACAACTACATTATTTTAAAGACGTCAAATCACTAAGCAATTCAAATGTCCTTTCATAGTCCGATTCCTAAATCTCATCCGACCATTTATAGCCATACTTCCAGAGGTCACGGCACCAGACAGAAAGGTATACTGCTCAATACTTTAGATTCAGTTTTCATTTTATGCATCATGAAAAGATCTAGATAACATCAATTACCTTTATAGGTTCCTTTCCGTCAAAAAGTATTATGGACGGCGGTCACACTTTTTATCTTTCTTGTGTGCTCACAAATTCCATTATACGGTATCATGTCCTCTGATTCATCAGATCCTTTGTATTGGCTTCGTGTCATTCTCGCTTCAAACAGGGGTACTTTGATGGAACTCGGTATTACACCCATTGTAACTTCGGGCATGATAATGCAACTTCTTGCCGGTGCTAACCTCATTGAGGTTGATTTCAGCTTGAAAGAGGATCGTGCTTTATTTAGCGGCGCTCAAAAGCTCTTCGCTATGGTATTTGCTTTTGGCCAAGCCACGGTATCCGTAATGACCGGATTGTACGGTGATCCTTCTGAAATCGGCGCTGGAGTCTGTTTTCTACTTATCATCCAACTCGTCTTTGCAGGCCTTATCTCTATGCTTTTAGACGAACTCTTACAAAAAGGTTATGGTCTCGGTTCTGGTATTTCACTCTTCATTGCTACCAACATTTGTGAATCTATTGTTTGGAAAGCGTTCAGTCCTACTACCGTCAACACTGGACGAGGTCCTGAATTTGAAGGGGCTCTCATTGCTTTGTTCTATTTGGTTATTACTCGGAATGACAAAATTCGCGCTTTAAAGGAAGCCTTTTATCGAACCAATTTGCCAAATGTTATGAACTTATTGGCAACAGTGGTTGTTTTTGGCATTGTCATTTACCTTCAAGGTTTCCGTGTTGAACTTCCTGTTAAATCCAATCGATTTCGTGGTCAACGGGGAACTTATCCGATCAAGCTTTTTTATACCTCAAACATGCCAATTATGCTTCAGTCAGCTCTTACCACAAACGTTTTCCTTATCTCACAAATGTTGTACACCCGATTCCCAGATAATCTTCTTATTCGTCTTCTTGGTGTCTGGACTGTATGTACACTATTATTAAATTTTAACTCATATGCGCATTGTTATATAATATTTAAAATAATCCTGTTTTTATACAGCCTTACGAAGGTTCTTCCCAATTATTTGCGTCAGGCGGTCTAGCTTATTTCATGTCACCACCCCATAGTATCAAAGACGCACTTTTGGATCCTATTCACACCGTTGTATATGTCGCATTCATGTTGACCGCATGTGCACTCTTTTCAAAAACATGGATTGAGGTCTCTGGATCTTCTCCACGTGAAGTAGCAAAACAACTTAAGGAACAGGGTATGGTAATGGCTGGCCATCGTGAAACCTCAACATACAAAGAGTTGAAGCGTATCATCCCAACAGCCGCAGCTTTTGGCGGAGCTTGTATTGGTGCTTTGTCGGTTCTTGCTGATTTGCTAGGTAAGCTTTTTTTTTTTTTTGTTATAATTAATATTAATAAAGGCCAACTTTCTGATTTGTTGTCTTTATCGTTTGCAGGCGCACTTGGATCTGGTACCGGTATACTGCTTGCAGTTACAATTATATACTCATATTTCGAAATGTTTGTTAAGGTTTGTTTAATTA